GCGCATATTTTTAGGATCCGATTTGCCCCTTCCTTCTTATGGCATGTACTTCATGAGAAAAATGTGGGTCGACGTGGTTCCCGGAGTGGACCGAAAAGCCGATGTATTGTTTCATTACCCTCAGGTGAGTACGCAACTTGAAAGTACCGTTTGATGTTGAACTTCAGCGTTTCGTTGAAGTACCGATCTAACATGGATTGACTATGTGAAGATTAACTGCCGTTTCCTTCCCTCCATACTAAAGCAGTTAGGATTCAGGAAACAAGTCGATAGTCTTATGAAAACTAATTTTCAAGGACGAATTTTAGAACATTATCTAAGAGTACTTTTGAGACGTTTACTCATCTGTTAGTCAAGTGTTGTAGGATAAATGGTTACTGCGAAATCAGCCGCATTTCATGAGAAAAGCGGAAAGTCTCTGGAATGTCAGTCTTCCCTACGATTCAGTTATGCCTGATTCCCGTTTGAACCTATAAATCAGGAGCGCTTTGTTTATGAAGGTGATGTCACAATAACTGTAGCGCCGTCTCCTGCTTCTTTCCCACATAAAACATTAGTGCAACTCGATACTCACAGCGCCGTAGATGAAATCTGAATGCACCAGATGCATGCATATGCACCCCATGTCCAAAAGATTACGAGGACATGCTTCGTACAGTCATCCGTTTCTACAATTTGAGTGTACATTCGATGGAAACGATGACAAAAGCCAGCTGTGCAGTGATAGACATACCTTTTTACCGACTCAGGCCAGAACTTTGGGATGTTTGTACATGTTTTGTACTGTCTATGTGTATAAGTGGTAGTAAAAGTCGGCCAGCAGCGCTCGCCTAGATGGCCGGCTGTTCCTTTGTTGCTGTTACTGCTCCGTCAACTATTTTCTCAATACTGCTTCTGCTTATGGAGAAAATGAACATAAAATTTCATCGAATTGTTTGGATCCTATTCTCGAAGTAATCAAAAGGCACAGGAAAATGAGAGGAGATCGACCGTCGATTCGGAATTGCCAGTGGCCTTCTGCGTGAACTAGCTTCTGAGTCTGAAAGTGCTGTTGTCTGTGTTTAACTCGATTTTTCCCCATACTCACCTATGACCACGATTGTGGGTCATGACTGAAAAACTGCTATCATGGTAAAAGTAGCTAAAGCGGGCTTTATAACTTTTGCTATAAGACATCGGTTACTACAGCGTGAGAGGAATAGTTCCTCTCCAAAAAGATCTCTCTGTACCATATTCTTTCTTGTTGCATGCGGGCCTCTTTTTCGACGTCTGCCATGTATCGAGTGCCAAAAATCTCATGGGTTGTAAGTAAATGGTTTGTGCTTAACCAGTGTATCTAGCAGCGACAACCTGTTTTTTAATCTTTGCATATGCTAATCACGTGCGCCCAGAACAGTATGGAGCAATTCGGTACGTAGCCTCTCATTTAATGAACATTATGCGTCGAAACTGACGGTGGTATACACAGTTCAACCGTCGTTGCTACTCTTTCGTTAGAACAAGTGTCTCCATGTCGTATAAGAACGCTGATCTGGTAAAGACAAGGTACAGAGGGATTTTTGTGGAAAGTGCTATTCCTTTCTCATCCCAAATACTGGACAGGTTTCCAAAAACATACACGATTAGAACATCCTCCTATTTAATTCCGACTGAATGGTGCCATCACTGGAGATGATTGAGCTGAGATACACTGGTCAGAGCGATGATTAAACTGGTCAGTTTCCTCTATGGCTTCCCCTCTTTTCCACTAGTTAGTCAGTCGTGCTTGATGAGTTTCTCATAACTTTTTACTTCCGGATGTTA